GTCTTGTCCCACCCCAAGCCCCGTTTATCCCGGCTTGAATATTCTAATAACTTGGGTGTACGTGAGGAACCCCAAATTGTCGAAATTTCTGGAGTCATCCACTACGGTGTCTCTCATAATCATATGGTCGTTTTGGGACGTTAAACCCCACATATTTATCAGTATTCTCGTAACGTCTACGCTTCCACAGTATATTAGTAAGCTATAGATTTAGAGTATATAAGTATTTGGTAAGCTTAGTCGTTCTTGTTCCGCGTGACTTAATGTCGTTGCCGGAACGGCGTCGAGGAACCCAATCGCGGCAGACAATTTGATAAGGGAAGGGAGAAACGGAAAGAACGAAGTCGACTGTTCAGTACAAAAAGTTTGCCACGGCGGGTCGCAGTGACCCCTCGATCGTTCCGTCGGGCAGACCACGTGATTGATCGCCCGCGCCATGCACGGCCGTCAACACAAAATCTTCAGTACTCTCTTGTTCGCCGAAGCGCAGTTTTTAACGACCGACAGGGGTGGTTTTAGCATTTTCCTCGCTCGGCCGTGCTCCGGAGACCCGCACGCGCAGAACCCCCCCCCCCCCAACCCCCTCGAATGCATGCGTTATTCATCCTCGTTGTTTCCGAATCAAGTAACGGCCCCGCCTTTAATGCGACTGTTGACAGTGATGTATAGCCGGCGCGGAAAGCACCTTCATTGCGCTGTCGCCTTCAGATGTTGTTAACGCTGTCGGCATCGCCACCGATTCTTGTTAACGTGAACCTCCCCGACGCGCCACGAAGTTTTCTCATTAGGCCCACAGACATGGTTGTCGTGACTAGGCCTGTGTCCATACGTCTGCGTATATATGATAGTTAGTGCACTTAGCGTATAGTGTACCTGTCAGCTGTAGCGCAGCCAGAAGTTTTTCAAAGGGGGTGGGGCGAGTACCATATTTCGTCTATATTCCCACGCGTGTTTGTGTGCGCGCGCGAATAAGTACCCATGCAAGAATGTAAATATTCTGGAAGGTGCGTGCAACGCCCCAGACTCCACCCCCCCCCCTCCTCCCCCGGCCATGCCAGTGATACTTGGTGTGTGCCGACGAGTGGACAAGATGTTTCTAACAAGGTGAAACAATCTGGAGTGAGCACTACGTATATGATATACTGCTGTCGCAAATGGAGTTGTATTCATATTATTGCACGTGCGGTAATTACTTCGTTGCTGCTAGATTCCCTGTGAAGATGAGTAATCTGCCTGCTGTGCCATGCGACTTGTTTATTCTTATGTTGATCGCATAGGTAGTTGCAGTACAATGCTATTGTGGGGATAACTGAAATAGAAAAGGCCATTCAATTAAAAGTAAATGTACAGACTCGTTCACACCTTGAAAATTCAGCTTCGTCATCATCATCAGCCTGACTACGTCCACTGCAGGACAAAGGCCTCTCCCATGTTCCGCCAGTTAACCCAGTCCTGTGCTTGCTGCTGCCAATTTATACCCGCAAACTTCTTAATCTCATCTGCCCACCTAACCTTCTGTCTCCCCCCAACTCGCTTGCCTTCTCTGGGAATCCAGTGAGTTACCCTTAATGACCACTGAGTGGTTATCCTGTCTACGCGCTACATGACCGGCTCATGTCCATTTTCTCTTCTTGATTTCAACTATGATATTCCCAACCCCCGTTTGTTCCCTAATCCACTCTGCTCTCTTCTTGTCTCTTAAGGTTACACCTACCATTTTTCTTTCCATTGCTCACTGCGTCGCCCTCAATTTAAGCTGAACCCTCTTTGTAAGTCTCCGGGTTTCTGCTCCGTAGCTAAGTACCGGCAAAATACAGCTGTTATATATCTTCCTCTTGAGGGATAGTGGCAATCTACCTGTCATAATTTGAGAGTGCTTGCCAAATGTGCTCCACCCCATTCTTATTCTTCTAGTTACTTCGATCTTGTGGTTCAGCTCCGCGGTTATTACCTGTCCTACCTCTTCCCAACCCTCCTGCCTATTCCCTAAAAACACGAATATTATGCCATTCCCAGACGAATTTAGGACTTAAAGTCAGCGGGAATAGGTGCAGAGGGGTCCAGCCCCCTTTCAATGTTTAAGGGGGGGGGGGGGGGGGCTCGGCTTTTTCAAGACTGGGGAGCAGCCAGAAATTTTTCGAGTAGGGGGGCAGGGAGGGGGCCTCTTGATTTCGCGAGGGGCACCCCGTTGAAGTGGCCATTTTCCGCTCTCTCTGTCATGATGAAATCGTTTGAGGGGGGGGGGGCGCACGGGTTTGTGCGCCCCTAATGTGTGTGTGTGTGTGTGTGTGTGTGTGTGTGTGTGTGTGTGTGTGTGTGTGTGTGTGTGTGTGTGTGTGTGTGTGTGGTGTGTGTGTGTGTGTGTGTGTGTGTGTGTGTGTGTGTGTGTGTGTGTGTGTGTGTGTGTGTGTGTGTGTGTGTGTGTGTGTGTGTGTGTGTGTGTGTGTGTGTGTGGGTGTGGGTGTGGGTGTGTGTGTGTGGTGTGTGTGTGTGTGTGTGTGTGTGTGTGTGTGTGTGTGTGTGTGTGTGTGTGTGTGTGTGTGTGTGTGTGTGTGTGTGTGTGTGTGTGTGTGTGTGTGTGTGTGTGTGTGTGTGTGTGTGTGTGTGTGTGTGTGTGTGTGTGTGTGTGTTTGTGTGTGTGTGTGTCAGCGCCCGCTAGGTCCCTTTCAGCGCCCGCTAGGCTTGTCCAAAGGTTAAAAGTTGGCGCATATCACCTTCATTTATGTTGTAGCGTGATATATCGCAGGGACGGCTCAAGCTCAAGCGTTATCTCAGTGTCACCCATACCGCGTGTTTCCGTGCGTCAAATGCCCGACTAATTTATTGGAAGGCTGAAGCTTGCTTGACCATTGCGAGTTTTCAGAAGTGCTTGTTCCGAATTCGTTCTTCCAGTTTCGAACCGGCCACGCGTCCGACAGCGCTTCCCGGCGTCGTGAAGTATTTAACGACACAGGCATCGAGTGACTCGAGAGAGCGCGTCTGACGCGGTGCCTTAACATACATGAAATATTTGAGCCGCCTTACAGCGGAGCATCTCGGTTTCCTAAGTTCGAAGGAAACTCGAAGTGAGGTGCCTCGTTCGTGCGCACGTATGTGCACGCGCTCGATCCTCTCGGAGCTCGAGAGCTGCTGGCTAATTCAACGTAACAAGCATCCTCGGCCTCACTCAAACTACACTGTGGCACACCGGGCGTGCACAAGCCGAAACACGGGCATTGATGCAGTTCCCGGAACAATCGACATGCTCTCCTACACACCTCTGATCAAGCCGGAATCTCCCCCCCGAATCGTCTCAGGGCTGGCAGCGATAACTTGAGCCGGACTAGGTAATTAGGTGAGGTGCGTGGCTTTGGCGGCCAACTCATTCATTCCGTAAATTACTCAGTCTGGGGCTTGGCGCGGCGGTCAGTTTTGTATAGAGAGGAGAATTCTTAAGGAGCTGCGTGCAGTATAGATACACCCTCAAAAAGATCCAACCCTACGACCATTCTCGTCCCCGCCCCCTCGGTGCATGAAGGAACTGAAGGGTGCCTTCACGCGTATACAGTAGGCAGATGTCGATCGTTGAGTACCGTGTGAAGTCGAATGCTCGAGACTTTTGTGTCGCTTTTTGAAGTGGTGGAGTGGGCGTGGTTCCCCGAAGTCGCAGTATATAAAGCTTTTGAACGGTAAGGAGGATACGGGATCGCAAACGCTGACGTCGTCACAACTACGGCCCTGCATATGACGGCGCCCAGGTAACTGCTTCATATATATATATATATATATATATATATATATATATATATATATATATATAAGAAAAGTGTATAAGGGCTCGTTTTTCCGTGTTTTCGGCACAATATTGATGAGATCTAACAGACAATAATGCCAAGGAATGTATAGGAGAAGTTGTTAGACCCAATTGTAATGTAAATGTGAAGAAAGAAAAGTGGGTGAAAAGGTAACTTGCCGTGGGCAGGAACGGAACCTGCGACCTTCGAATAACGCGTCCGATGCTCAGCCAACCATGCTACCACGGCGGCTAACCACCCACCACCATCCCCGCCATTTGTATTGTGTACATACGTAAATTAAACGTGGGAGTGTCAGTAAGCACCACCAGTAGCCATGGCGGTGAGTGTGGCACACTCTTCATGAGCGTGTTTGGCGTCACGGAGCATGTTGCTCATTACGAGCTGGCTGCTGACTAATGGTCCCTCTTATACAACCTATAGACATCAAGTCGGCCAGTAAGAGACCCTCGCTAATGAATCAATGAAGAAAGTGTATACTATGAGCTCGTTTGTTTCATATTTGACACAGTAATAATGAGATCTAACAGATTATAATGACAAGGAAAGTATAGGGGAAGTCATTAAACTGAATTGCATTGTAAATGTGAAGTAAGAAAAGTGGGTGAAAAGATAACTTGCCGTGGGCAGGAACCGAACCTGCGCCATTCGAATAAGGTCGCAGGTTGCTTCCATCGCATCTACTCGAGTCAAGGAACGCGTAAAGTCAGGCGCATGAAAGAAACGCGAGCATGCGGCACGAGGCGCGAGCATGCTCAGTGGGGGGTGGACGGCGGCGCCGACGCCGAAGCGCGACATCGTGCGACTAAGAAATGGTTTGCATTAAAAAAGTAATCTCAGGCATAACATTTTACCCCCTTTGCTCCACCGCGGCGGTCTAATGGCTAAGGTACTCGGCTGCTGACCCGCAGGTCGCGGGTTCAAATCCCGGCTGCGGCGGCTGCATTTCTGATGGAGGCGGAAATGTTGTAGGCCCGTGCGCTCAGATTTGGGTGCACGTTAAAGAACCCCAGGTGGTCGAAATTTCCGGAGCCCTCCACTACGGCGTCTCTCATAATAGTGGTTTTGGGACGTTAAACCCCACATATCAATCAACATTTTAGCCCAGTATATATCTTCAATAGAGCGAAAGACTGGTGCGATAACGATGTTGTTCAGTGATTTACCCATCACATTCCACAACGACTGTTTTCGTGTGTGGCGCAGGACACCGCAGTTACCAGAGGACGACATCGATTGGCCCGTGTTCACCAAGGAGCAGCCGACGCACGTCATGCTGCGCGCGGGAAACAGCAGCGTCGAATGGGGATTCCACGAAGACGGCTGTAACCTGTACAGAAAGATCTACGAGATGCTCAGCATCGGCACTCCCTGACATCTGCCTGGTTGTTTTGGCATCGGTTGTTTTGGCAGGGAGGTTCCATGACACGCACATCATACGCCTCAAAAGATGCAGACATCCATCTGCGCTTCCCTGTACGAACACTTTCTCATGCAGTGGTAACGCTTTGGTGCTTGTTGCATCGGTGTTGGTACCTGGTAACGCGTCAGTACTGAGATACCATATTCATTTTCAAATGTTTTTTTTTTTAGATATGTTTCTTGGTCAACAGGCAGCTTTTGTATGTACACTTGCGTCTTTATTTATTTGAACAACATTTCACAATATATACTGCCTTTTAATTACCAATGTACGGCGTGTACAACTGAAGTGATTAAGTAAAGAATTCAAGTGAGAGTTTCTATTATTCAAGAAAACACAAAAAAATTAAAGATACTAGCGATCAACTAGACTTTCGCAATGGCAATCAAAAAAATAAACACGACAAACTACGTGTGCCAGACCTGCGAAGTACTCCTGTCTGCAGCTTGGGAACCAAACGCTTTGGGAACCCGAACACGTAAAAGAAAACAGTGCTTCAAGAGTGAGTATATCATAATGTGCTCTTCTGAGCCATGATCCAGTATCGGTGACAATATGCTCACAACAAATTACCTCCTAATCATGTCAAGGGTAGCTCACATATATGCTCGTAGGAACCGTCCTCCATGCCCTTATATATGCTGTGCTGTCCTCCCTGCACTCACAAGTTAATTGCCAGCGTGCGTTGATTAAGCCGAGACATCTGCTCAGAAGTTAATCATGTCTCTACATGGTGAGTATGAATTAATTAAACCCGCTGTGGTAACTGTTGTGAAGGCAATCTCATCTTCGTTGAGCTAATGTAATCACACCATACTAAACCTAATAGAAGCGAGACTCACCTTCCTAACCGGACATGCGAGACAAGGCTTCGACGGGAGTAGAATTAATTAAGTCACTGTCGCAAAGTATATCGCGACGCAATCGCGCAGGAATTGACTACCTTGTGGAGCGATGCGTTGTCACCATGACTGGGAAGAACTTCTAGATAACCATGGTAATGAAACAGAAAAAAAACATCGCTCGCTGTAGGGTAATAAACGGGACTACTGGTCACCCTTTCTTCATCACGTTATATATATATATTGTAAGGACGAGAAATAAGACACAACGCCTTTGCTGCAGGCCGGCTGTTCTTATTCTGCTTCGTCTTCCTCCTCTTCCTTCCTAGCATGCGAGTCTGTGCCAGAGAGAGTTCCAGTTTCGGTTTTCGTCATTACACTCGGCCATGACTGCTAGCATTGTCGTTGGGCCAACGACAATGTTCTGGTAGGTAAGGCTAGCTGCAGCAGTTGACAGTGCTTCAGGTGGGCGAGGTTGGCTACATCGTCGTGGTCGGTCTCGACCACGCTGGAAGTTTGTCGAAATTGGCTCCGGCGGCCGACACTGGCTATGTCGTCTGGGTCGTTCACCGTGTCGTGATGGAGACTGGGTCCTGTGCGCGCGCGGAGCTGGCGGTAAAGTTTTTGGTGGGTGGGCTTGACTTTGTCGCCGTGGTCGAACTCGTCCATGATGCAACGTTTCCTGACAACTCGTAGAATGCAGTTCAGGTGGACGGCCCTGACTGTTCCGGCAAGGTCGCAGAGTAACCTGGAAACGCTGGTGTTTGTCCCACCGTCGCTGGTGGACTGAACTGCAGCGGGATGCCCTGCGAGGCAGCCATGATGACGTTTGGGCCATTTCTTGAAATGAGATGGGACGCAGCTCATGGTTGGGCATAAATACCACAGCAGAACTCCCAGACGTAGTCGAGCCGGTGGCTTCTGGCGAACTGTCATGTGCAAACATCGTATGCTGGGAGGAAACAGCAGGAGGGCTGGTCCTCGGCAAGTTCTCGATGGCAGTGGCCTCAGCGTAGCTAGGTATCTGGGCTTTCTCGAAGGAAACGTTCCTTGGTAGCCGCGTGTCTGCGTGGCTGAGCATGATCGTGGTCTGGTAGGGTTCAGTTGTGTCTAATACAATAGGATTGAGTGCCTCGATGTCCTCAGACGACGAGCGCGAGGGCCGTATCTCCGGACGAAGGTCTGGTGGGGGTATTTTCAGGTCGAATACCGATGCAGAGTCCGGGACCTGTAGTGTAGGATTCCAGCCACTTCGGTCAGGGTCAGCAGCAGGGAACTCCTGGCAGCATTCCGTTGACGAGCTGCAACGAACGATTGCAGCCTCGAGGCGGGGCGCTGCCTGGGCTCCATCCTCGGCCTCGGGGAAGATCGAGCTGGACTTGCTGGAGTCACAGGAAATCCGTCCGAAAGCGGCAATCAGGGCTGCACTCCATTCTGCCCAGGACTGCTGCCTGACGCCTTCGTACCTGTGCCATGCTGCGGCAGCATCCCGCAGGCGATCTATGGCCATGTCCCACTTCTGCTCTTCAGTCGTTCCGAGAGCGTTGACGGTTGCCACCCATTCCTCGGCGTCGTCCTGGAAGCCGCGAAATTCCGGTAGCGCGAAGGAAATCGGCGATGGCGGGACGGCGGGCAGAACTCCGAAATGTGCCCCCGCCAAGCAGTTCACTTGCTCCGATACCTCCGCGAGAGAACGCCGGAGATTGCGACGGTTCTCGGGCGAGCTTACCTCGAAGTTTTGTGCGGCGGCCGCAGCCAACATGGCATTGAGTGCGCACAATGTTGGCAAGATGGCAGGACATAGCTTGGAACTCGACGCTATGAGGGCGTTGGTCGTGACACGGAGTTGCGCGATGGTATGCTGCAGCTCCGCTGCGCTGTCGTGTGATCCGCACGAAGAGCCAAGGCCCGCCTCTGCGGAGGATACAGTGACTGCGGTATTCGAGGTGGTACAATTCTTGACCAAGGACGCGTGGACGGCGTCCCTTGGAAATCCAGCTGTGGTCGGATTCGTGGACATGGGTTCCAGGGCGCTGGAAGCGTCAACGACGTTCCCAGGCAAGCGGAACCCGTGTGATGAGTTGTGACCTGGTACTGTGGCGTAGATGAAGCGGTCTTGCGCCGCCGGGTAGGCCTCGACGCCGTACACGGTGGGTGCTTGAAGCGCCGACAGGTTGCCAGGTATGGAGGAGGCATGTACGCCATCCCTAGGTGAGAGAGGCCCGTGCGCATGGTTGCCGCGACGTGTCGCGTCCCAGGACAAGTTTCCCGGAACCACAACGGAGGCCTGGACGCCATCCGTCGGTGCTGGGATCGATGCTGGCCGCGACGGACGCCTTGCGGGTCCCATCAGCGAAGAAGCGTGACGGCGAGGAGGCCTTGACGCCGTCCCCGAACGGTGGTGTCAGTAAACAGCTGCCGAGGAGGGCTTGACGCCGTCCTCAAGCGACGCTTACCGCGGCTGCACGTCGGCGGGCGTTCTGGATGACGAAACCGAGACGTAAGCCGTTTTCTTCGTCGACTGCGCCATTGTAAGGACGAGAAATAAGACACAACGCCTTTGCTGCAGGCCGGCTGTTCTTATTCTGCTTCGTCTTCCTCCTCTTCCTTCCTAGCATGCGAGTCTGTGCCAGAGAGAGTTCCAGTTTCGGTTTTCGTCATTACAATATATATATATATATATATATATATATATATATATATATATATATATATATATATATATATATATATATATATATATGGCAATAAATTTGAACCCCCTCTCGCCCACCTCAAGAGCGCTGCAGGAGCGGAAGAAGGTGGGGAAAGTGGAGGGGGATCGCGTAACCACCTCGGATACATGAACTCTTCAGTTTGAACGTTTAAACAGACTAAAATACCCCCCCCCCACTTCAATGCCAAATATATGAACAAGACTCTTCGAACGGAAACGTACCCTGACCCTGCCTTTCTGTACAAGCTTTATCCTGAGGTTTATTTAACTCGTCTACGAAATTACGAAATGTGGTGGTTTAGAGCCACCTTACACCACGTGCTCTAAAAGCGCCCTTCAGTACGTGGCACCGATACAGCATCGTCCAGCAAGTGGGACTCCTCTCTGCGGAGTCCAGACATAACATCACTACGTTAGGCTGTCCAGAAGACGCACGGTGTGGCCTGCCGTGTGTTAGGGCACACGCCTTCAGAATTTTAAGCATAAAGTTTTTCCAAACCAAACCAAACGGCAGGAGGTTGCCTGGAGACAACTACAGGCACGCGCACGCCTAGCACGCACAGTCGCGCGCACAGTCGCGCGCACATTGGCGTGCGTTGAGGGGGATTGATTGATTGATTGATTGATTGATTGATTGATTGATTGATTGATTGATTGATTGATTGATTGATTGATTGATTGATTGATTGATTGATTGATTGATTGAAAACTTTATTGAACTACATACAATATACTCTCGCTTGTTGGCTTCAGCACCATGGTATGAGGAAGTTTTTAAAAAACTAAAAAGAAAAATGGGTGATCTGACACTGGTCAACTTCCTGGGCAGGGCATGGCCGTCGTGCAAACGACAGTGCGCCCCATATTCATCCTGGCTCTTATGAGTGGATCTTCGAGTGTCCAATGGTTAGTCTCATACATGTCTTGTTGTATGGGAGGCAGGGTAAGTTGGGCTTTTCTCATAATAGCAGCTCGGCTTGACTCGTGAACGGGGCATTCCCAGAGGATATGCTCCGTCGTTGTTGGCGCATTGCATGTAATCGCAGTTGGGTGTCAGAGTACTTTGTCGGCTATATATCTTGTGAAAGACCGAGATTGTATTGAGGCTTTGTGTTTGTAATCTTCTGGGTGTGACCTCTTAGATGCGGTTGCATCTTGGTGGCGGGGCTGGAGTGCATCGTGTTTTGTAGCTTCTTTTAATTTAGCCCTAATTTTTCGCTGGCGCTGCACTTTAGCACGGTAGTTTGCATTCGTGGGCCCCATCTTGAGTCATCGCTACGCCCAGCTTCGAGCTGTCATCCCACTCGTCTTTTTATTTTTTTTTACCTCACAATAATGAATAACTCGTTCCTTGTTATGATGCGCTGCAAGGCTCGTTGATGAACTAGTTCATG